CAGGAGTTTCGAACTAAATCTGAAATGCAACATGCAGTCAAATTATATTGTATGAAGTCTCATCGTACTGCTGTGGTGGCAAAAAGTGATGACCATATATTTGTGATGAAGTGTCGACACCATAATGATGGTTGTCCCTGGTACGTGCGGGCTATGTTGCCGAAGAATGGAAATAGTTGGGTTGTTAGTAAGTGGGGTAAAAAACACACCTGCCTAAACCAAGGCCTTACTCGGGACCAAGTCCCAACCCACAAGCAGTCAAACTAGATGTAGCACCTGCAAGCAAATTGGTCACAATAAACGTACATGTCCTATGAGGATTAGACAAAGTTGAACCAATGTTGTGCATGTATTTAAGGTCTTTTGTAAGAGTTCATGTAATTCTGTTGTGAATTTTGATGTTACTTTGTGTTACTGTATAACTCATTATGTTATTTGACTTTTCATTTCTAAGTCCATTATCTAACATTGGTCCATATTGATAGATTGAAACTAATAACCAATGCTAATATTACCAAAAAATGAATTCACCAAGTTTCGGGGAGCGTAAACAAACGGTTTCAAGCAATACGTAACCAATCGCACACGAATCCTGTACAATACAATTTTGTACCTGAAAGTGTGTTCCCCAAGTCATTATATACGTGTACATTAGTATTCGATCGATTCCGTGCCAAAAAAATGCGTGCAAAATAGAATGGGGTGTCAAAACCAGTTATTTAGTCGAGCAACCTGTGCTGGTTTAGTCGACTACACAGTTTAGTCGACTAAACCAGTACAGGTTGCTCGACTAAATAACTGGTTTTGACACCCCATTCTGTTTAGCACGCATTTTTTTGGCACCAAACCGATCGAATATCAATGTACACGCATATAATGACTTGGGGAACACACTTTCAGGTACAAAATTGTATTGTGGCGGTTATAAACCATGAATGTACATGTATTGCATAAATCTTGGTTTAGGGTACCCGAAACTTATGTTCTTCATTTAACTCTCTTATGAGCACCTGTTCTGAATTTCATTGGACATTTTAGACCCGTTGGACTGTGATTAGACACAAATTGAAAACAAGAATGTAAAATTTCCATGTTCCTTCATTTGGTAAACAAGAAAAATGACATAATTACGTAAACGGTTCACAACATGATGGGAACATTAAATAGTTCAGCTCATAACCATAATATTACATAAACTACAAATGTCAAATATGAAGACCGAAGTCAATTACATAACAACACACTACAAACGTAAATAAAAAACACAAACCCTAAATCTAATCCTCCTCATCCTCTGACGCCGTCTCCTCGTCATCCTCGTCTGACACATCAGTCCCCTGTCCTGCAACATCTTCAACCTGCTGTTTTCCTCGTCCAAGCTCTAGATGAGCAAGCCTATCTTCAACACCCTTGAACCGTCCCTGTATATGTCTAAATCTTTCATTCCCTTTCTGCACGTGACTCTTCCTCCATTTTTTGTGTTTCAGCGCCATTTTTCCTATTTTCTTTAGCGTGGCATTTATGCCCTTCATGACATCACGCAATGAAAACCCACCCTCAGGCTCAGCTATCTCCTGCTGGTCACCCGCATCATCATCGTCATCATCATCCTCCACCTCGGGCTCAACCATGTCTACAACTGGAGCAACATCAGGAACCTCAACATCAGTCGCACCTGTGAACTGCCACACTCCTGTTTGGGGGTTCTTTGTCATCTTGCACTGCTCCAGTAGACGTTTTCCAAACTTATGATTATACCCTGTGGTCTTCTTCAAGGTCACATTACCCATGGGAACATCAAAATGCTCCAATATCCTCTGAACAAGACAAGCAAATGGAAGTACACACTTGTGTTTGGCCTTATACATCATCCAACAGATGTAGTGCCTCCAGTTCACTGAAGTACCATGTCGGATAGCCCACATGATGGAAATGTCATGCTCCAACACCCTGGAATGATTGAACGCTCACGGAAACAGAATGTGGGTGATGACATAGTGTAGTATGCGGGATTCCACAGTAAGCAACCCCACCGTATAGGCAATGTGTTGCCCACGGACTCTTCTCTGCTCCTGCACTGCATCACCTCGTGTATATCCTGGAAGTATGGTCCCGCTGTCTGCGTCATATTCCACAGTCTGCGCAGAATCAAAGTCATACCCCTGTAACTCTAACCATACCGGAGCCGTCATGATGATCTCCACCCCGCAGACCCTAGACCTCAGCTCACCCTGTACGTAGCTGAGGTTATGGTAGAAGGCCCGTACATGCAGCTCAGAATATGAACATGACAGTTCAGCCAAGGTCCTAAGATGTGATTCCTCCAACCACCTCACAATGTTAAAACCTTCTTGTTCAAAAAAAGCTGTATCAAGTGATTTGGCCCCACATATCGGTCGGTTAACAAAGTCACGGACAAATGATTCATGAACCACGGGGTCATTCTCGAACAAGTATCCGAATGGGAGGTCGACAGGAGCGGCCTCTTCCTCTTGTGGCCTTGACGAAGACGGACAGTCTTGTCGTAGCTTCTGTCGTAGCTTCTATTGTCTCTCATTTTCAGTGCTAGACGATCTTCTACGACCATCCATGGGAACAACGGTACCTACAATGCAAGTGGAAACAATATCAATGAACAATAACAATATCAAAAAATTTAAAATTCAATATAAAAAACAAAACCTAATCCTAAAATAAAACAGAAAACAAACCCTATACCTAACCCTAAAATAGAAACCCAATCCAAAACAGCACCCCAAACCCTAACCCTAACCCTAAAACAGAAACCCTAACCCTAAGCCTAACCCTAACCCTAGCACATCACAAAAAACCATTCCTAGCCCCTAACATAAAAACATCAACCCTAACACTACAACCCAAACAAAACAGCAACATAAATCCTAACCCTAACCCTAAACCTAAACATCAACCCTAACCCTCACCCTCACAACAAACTTAACACCCTACCCCTAACCTAAATCCACAAAACCGCAAACAAAATTCAAATGCATGGAGAAAACAAAAAAAATAACCTAAACCTAAAACCAAATGCAAGTCAGAATACGTTACCTAAATGTCGATTTCGCAAGTGTGAACCAAGGATGCTTCAATCACCCCTTCAAGGGTTAAGATTCGGACTTGGTTGGAGAGAGGGGACGGAATGGAGCAATTTAGTCGATTAGGATTTGAAAATAACCCCCTTTGCGAAATGTGGGGGTTTTTAAAAATCCTGATCTGCGATATTTAGTCGACTAAATAATGGGCTTAGTCGACTAAAAGTGCAACGAATGTAGTCGATTAAGGTGAGTTTTTAGTCGACTAAAATTCGCGTTTCATGATTTCTGAGTTTTGCCCATTTAGTCGATTAAAAGTGCATCTTAATCGACTAAATGGGGGCAGGATAGTGAATAGTTCTGGGGGAGGGACAAATTGGTTATTAATTATTTAACGAGGGACAAAAGGGTCAAGAAGCCCCATCGCCGCATACAACATGGTTAATATTTCTTGATTATTTTTTCTGCTTTATCTTTCAATAACTAATTTTTGTTCGGAATATAAAAGTAAAAATTTAATCAGTTCTTGATAGTTTTTAAGATTGGCTAATAATTAAATTTCTCTATCTATACTGCCGCCGCTCCACGACCACCACAATGGCTTAACGAGAGTTTTGCACAAATCATAATAATTAAAGAGTTTACATGTGTCTCTTTAAAGTATATGTGAAGGAATAAAAATAATATTTAGTTATATAAAAAGTATTTGTTATTCAACTTAATTATTTAAAGAAAAAAATATTATTCATTTTTTAATACTTAAAATTTTTATTTCACTATATATTTGTAATAGAGTTTATTATTATATTTGTTACATATTACAGTTAGCCAATAATAGATAACCAACTGAATTTAGTAACACTCCCCAAAAAGAAACATGCTCTGAGTTCAACAGAATTGATGTTTAGCATAATTCTGGGCTAGTAAATAATTTCAATTTTTTTGGTAGGTTAATATCAAAATATGAGAAATATTACTCCCTTGGAAACCACCAAATCTTTAGGGGGGCGTTTGGTTGCTGGAAAATATTCAGAATGCTAGATATCTAATTAGTGGGAATAAGAGAAAGCTACATTTGGTTCAAGTTGTTTCGTGATTTAGGTGCCAAAATGTGAATCATAGGAAACTCACTTGCATAGGTATCTCTCCTCAGAAAGCATGCCAAATTTCTCCTTCGCGTAGATGGTATTATCAAAAATCACGAGATAAGCTCACAGTACATACAAAGGCAAAGACGAGTGTGCCCTTTCACAAAGGCAAATGATACGGATAAATGGTAGCAATCCTGTTTTGTCATTTTTTAAAACAGGAATATTTTTGTAATTGTGACTTATTTTTCCATATATATTTTACCTCAAATCAAACATAGACTTTATAAATCTTACTTAATTTACCTAGTAAATTTTTTTCCTACCAAACAACTTTTTTTTACATTTTCCTACCAAACTCATTTCTCAACCATTTCCCTACTAATCACATTTTCCTATGATTCATAAAAATTTCTCCTCAACCAAATGCCCCCAGGAGCGTTTGATTTGGGTTTTTCTAGAAGTTAGCCATGCATCTCACTGTGTTTTTTTTTTTTACTTCTTTGTTTGGTTGAAGTTTTTGAAAAATTTAGCCATACATCCGTTTTGCACAGACGTTTACATTTGTGTGAAAAATTGAGAAAAGAACACTATTCAAAAATACCTCTTGTAAGATGGTATTTCAAGTTGCCTAGACTAATAGGAGAAAGAGGGTCATTTTGCTGCCAAAAATACCATCTGCTATTAGGCAACAATGTTTGCTACAAGGATTATTTCGTAATTTGAAGTTATTTTTTCATCAATTTTTTACTTCCAATCAAACATAGACTCAGTGAATTTAACCCAATATTTCTGGTAAAATTTTGACCAACTAAATAACTTTTTTTTAATTTTTCAATCAAACTCATTTTCTCATCAAATTTTTAGTAATTGTATTCTCTGTTAAAAAAATTTTATCCTCTGATCAAACTTCCGTAAGAGAGCAATAAGTCAATAAGATCCTAGGCAATCATAATAAGAAATTTGCTCAAATGAATGGGTTGCTAGCTACTTTCATATTTTTCTCTTTTCTACCAGGCAGCACCCTGATTATAATATATCACTGATGTACAAAACTAGAAGAAGAAGAAATCTTTTGAGACCCCCATTCTCCATGGCTTATTATTCTTGATGAAGTGAAAAAAGACGGTACCTTTTGCATACCCTTCGACAAGTAAATATATCAGGGCACAACTGGGGTTCGACAACAGGGACAATGGGGATGGTCTGCAAGCCAGGGGAGAAGACATGCTGAATGGTACTTATGGGAGCAATTGAGGTTCATAACTTGCTGCTCTTGCTGGAAATCTTCTAGGCAAACAGCACAAACTTTTCTCTCTTTCTTAAACCTGTTGGGCCGTAATATTAACCATGAGCAGTCTAATAACTTCCGACCTAAACATGCATCCTTAATCTTGAAGGTTCTTTGGCTTATTTTTCCATCCTTTTTTTTACTGTCACTTGACCTGCATCAAGAAAGATACTTATTCATTAGCAGAGCAATAGTTCTTGAATTTTTTATGATATTTTTTCTTGTTATTACATACAAAAACCTTTTCAGTTATTTATAAATAATTAGAAAGCAAAATTGATCAAGCCTCGTGTTCAGATATCTATGATTGTCCTGAATTTCAAAGAATATCACGTGCATATAGACAACATATATATTTTATTTGGATAGTGGAGATATGTGATTTGTCTATAGTGATACCGTATCAATGGACCGTATTAATTATATCTAGCCAGCTTAGATGTTAAGCATCTGATTGACAACATTGATGGAGTGTGCAGAATGACCTCACAAGTGGTGGAAGATGAACCATATTAAATCTTATAAATAAATATGAAGTCATGTGAAGAGAGTGGGGAAAAAAAGTTAATTCCTTAATTAGACATGTGTATATGCATACGGAAATGGTTGAAATTGAAAAAAGCCTAAACAAATGCAGAAACTCCAGTTATGCACAAAAAAAACTATTCATACTTCATCCTGAAAAGCCTAAACAAGAGTTACCAATTCCCTGACTCTCTATTTTCAGTATTCTTTAATCAATGAATCTTCTTCATCTTCATCTTAATTGATGGGGATTGATGTGTACATCCATGTAGATACAGCTTTGAATGGAAGTGGTAAAATATTATACCTGGAGGAGGAAAAGAAGTGTCCAAGCTTCTTCTGCAGGCGTTGCCTAGCCCTGAGAGCAGTTTCATCTAAGGCACTAAGTGAAATCCATGGTGACTCCAATGATTCCCTTAGGTAGGAGTCTCGGTAGGTAGCATGGTGTTCATATCTATGGTGATTCTCTGATCTCTTCCTTGGAGGCAACCCAACACCAGGTAGCCTACCAGCCATTAACTCTATACACTGCCTATTATCAACTCAATTTATGGCTGAGACCCACCAAATAATGCATCCAAGTTTAGATGGTTACGTGGTCTGTTTGATTGATTGTAGTTTACACCTCTTGGTAAATATCTAAAGTTTGAGGGGCCAATTCACTCGTGTTCTGTAGCAGTTCCTAATGATTTCATTTATGTGCTGCTATTCATGTGCATATGACAGCTATGTAAGTCTTGATTATTGGCTTTGGTGGGCATGGGAGTGTCACGTTCTGAGATGTAGCAAATTGGCAAGGAATTTTCACTAATTTGATGCGGGGGTTTACATTCCCACTGGGAGTGGGAGCAGGATTTTTAGTGTCCACGAAACTAACATGTGGTTCTCGAAAAATACACCCAAAAAAAGACACAAATTGTTGTCTGAACTGATGTTGCGTCATAACTGTTCATTGGGAAAGTTATGCCACTGCACTGAATGAATCAAAGCTCAAGTTGCAAAGGTAGTTTGAAAAGTAAAAATAAACGTAGGTGAAATCAATTATTTATTGAGTTCGTTTTTTATACAATAAGTTCAATACGATATAATTTTGAGACGAAAATTATAGTGTTTTTATAATTTTAGTTTATTTTAGAGTTATAATAAATTTTATAATTATAATTTTTTAATATTTCAATCCCAAAACGATATCATTTTGAAAGTAAATACAGATAACTTATCTCCAGTAACTATTTTTCTGTTATTTGTTTGTTCTAAATATGTAAAAAAGTATATAATAACTAGTATGAAGAAGGAGATTTACTTTTTCTTGTTATGAGTTTCATCTCTTGTACGACAAACTTAGCCAAGGTATAAGTTGGAATGAGAAATTTGCATAATGAAATGAAAAATATTAAACTTTGATGCACCGAGCTCCAATACAACACGAAATATAAATACATAAAAATAAGCACTATTATATAAATAAATAAAAAGCACTAAAGCAACTAAGACCCTTGTTATAATAAATGTGTCGATAATTTCTTGGCATGGTACATTCAATCTAAGCTCATTAAATTTATGCAAGAATTTTTACTGAAAGAGATATAATAAAAAGAAATAGGTAGAAATAATTATAGATTTCAAGTAGCTAATTAAGCCAATAAGTATATTTAACCATTAACAACTGACCTATATGTAATTAGCAACTTATGGTTTAGTACTGTTTTGGTGGTCCAACATGTTAGCCAAAAGCTTCGTGCTTTTTAATTCTCTCAAAGGATAGTTATAAAGATAAAAAAATGGAAAGATGTTTGACGTTAAAGCAAATTACCAAACACAAGCAGTTAATATACACAATTCTATGATTTCTCTTTCAGATCACCATTTTTCGTCAACCCTTCTCGCTGGGGCATTTTCTTTGGATGGAATCTATAAAACATTTTATAAGGATGTTACACGATAATATAAACCATTAAAAATACTCTCATCCAATATTTTAAGATTTTAAGTTAAATTAATTCTTTATTTGATATCAGAACTTTAGTAATCACAAGGTCATGAATTCGATTTTCACCGCCCCATATGTGAAATTAAATAAGTATAAGGTAAATATTTTTTTTTTTTGAACCTTTGCAATATTCACGCTTCAAGTTTAAAGGATTTTTGCATGAAGAAGTATATTAGAGAATAATATAAACTATTAAAAAAGTCTTCACCTAATATTGGGTTGAAATGATTATTTACAACAATATTAAACATAATAAAATAACCAATATATAATATAATAATATAATTATCATACAATACAACATTAAATAGATAATCTATGCTAACTGGTCAAGCTGAAGCAGGAATTCTTTTCCCCCAATTGATCTCTCATTGTAAGCAAGAAAGAAAGGAATCTTATGTAAATTGTCTTTTTGTGAACATTTAAGGATAAGCATTGTTTTAAATTATAATCTAGACTCTAGAGGCTATAGCCAATTTTATGTTGAAGCGTTTTAACGGTACGGAGTTTCAATAAATATAATATGGGAAATCATACTCTCATGCAATAGGAGAGTAAACATTTTTCTTATACAAAATTATTTTCCGTGTCAATTAATTTTTCTTTTCTTTTATATTATAAAATATGGGACCCATATTTAATTTGTCTTTACTTTTGTTCTCTCATGTTTTCATGCAACATAAGAAAACATGAACCCATATAATATATTTATGAATAGACGTATAAATGAATCAGATGGACGACTTGCAACTTCACTTAACCTAACTCATTTTAAAAATAATATATGTTTGAGCTCATAAAAAGTATCTTTAGAAAGAGCTTGTTTGCTACGGCGCGGCACACAACTCCTTTTCTAAATATAGAATGAAAAAAGAATGGAGGGGGAATATGAAAAAAAGAGAAATTTATAAATGAAATAAAATTTTATCAAAAATGACAAAGGACCACAAAATAGTGATATGGGCCTGGATGACTATAAAAAAATCCTTTTAAAAATTAGGTTACAAGCCTATTATAGAAGGCTTGACCTCTAAGTATCTAGACCCGACCTGATTTTTTAATATAATATTTTATTATTTTTAATTAAATAATATCTTGTTAGTTTTTGATAAAATAATTAATATCTTGTTATTTTTTAACTTTTCTATTTCGTCGCAATTTCTTAACCCCAAGTTCCTTTGCGCCATTGCTGTTTCTTGTTCCGCCAAATTTCATTATCAAGTTATTCATACGAATGTGCCTTAATTGAACAAGACTTGCTAATTGCAATTCTAATCCTCTTGAAACTGCTGATGAAGGGGAAAAAATCAACAAAATCTAAATCTCTTAATCAAGTTTTAAATCATGTTGCCGAATAATTTATTGTCTTTACCTTTTGGCCTTTGTCGTCATCACTATTTTCGTTTTTGTTGATTAAGATTATGTAATACACGAGTGGGTAAATATAATTTTTATTTTTTAAACGCAATTAAGCATTCTGCATCATTGCCATCATTTTGTTTTTAGTTTTAGCAAGTCAACAACATAGTTAAACTATTAATATTTTGGGTTGTGGTGTAGTTTCAGTTATTGTATATTTTGACTTTTCATCAACTTAAAAGCATACCAAAGAAATAAAATAATCATATTATAATCTATGGGCCTAATTATTTTACATCAGTATACGAATAATAAATTTTACATTAAATATGAATAATTAATTTGCGTACATTAAACAATTATACTTTATTAAAAAATAATAATTAATTAATAAGAATAACTCAATCAATTACAATCATTTTATGGACAAAAAATCAATTGTTAAAATTGTATAATACTAAGTTGTGTTGCTAACATGGCTTTTATTGTGATTTGCGAGACAAATTCTTTAAATACTAAAGTAACTAAAAAATTCTCCCAAAAATTGTTTTTTATTATTAGAATTATGATCCTTTCATTAAATTATATCCTACTTATTACTAAACTTAATCTTTGTTAGTATTAAGCTTCTTAATCTTCATTTGGATATAAAATTCATTTTGTAAAATTTTTTCTTGGGTTTAGTGTTTCTTCAGTCAATGGAGATAAGTTTTTTAGTAAGTCCAAAACGACGTCATTTTGGGATTGAGAAAAATATATTTTTGTAATTCTAATTTTTTCAGAGTTATATTAATTTTTATCTTTATAATTTTTTAATCTTTCAACCTTAAAATGATGTCGTTTTAAGTTTACTGGAGGTAACTTATCTCTATTGAGTAGAAAAGCACAAAACCCTTTTTTTTATATTGACTGTTCCTAAGTTCTCTTGGGCTTAATGATTTTTGAAAGTTTGGATTTCCCTTTTGAACTCTTAACTCGATTATTATCCCCAAATTTAGTCGTGGATCATTTGCTCATGTAGTTCATCCCACACCTATGGACTTCTTCAACTCTAAGTTTTAAACTGCATAAATTTTGAAGATTTATGTTATACAATTTTGAAGAATTTTTTAAGTTGTGTTACCCATTTGACCTATAATCTGAAGACTATTCAATAATTTCACCATAACTTTCGAAAAACTTCAAAATTTCTTTAGACGCATGGAATTTGACAACCTTTTAAGTTTCAAATAAATTTGGTTTCATTTATTTTATCAAGAAATAATTAAATTTTTTTGAATCCCTGCATGAATTTAGGTTTACACAATCAAACCATAAATTTTGAATTCTTTAATCTCATGTTAAAGTAGACAATTTGTCTCATGTCATAAAGAGAAAACATATGGGATCCCTTTTTTGTAAAAAGAAAAAAAAAAGAAGCTAAAGAGACATACCTTTTTGTTTGTGTAGGAGAGGGAATATTTTTTTAACAATATGAAAAAATATTTTTCCATTAAATGTAGGGCTAGTGGTCCCAAATTAAGAGCCCTTGCCTCTAAACTATGGGTCTGTTGTTTACCTTTTAGGTCCAACATGTTCAAAATTCCCTTTAACGAGAAAAATTATTGACCTACATTAATAATAACTATGTTTGCTGGTTACAAAAGTCATTACAATTGGTCTAGTGATAAGTGATTTGGGTAGGTTATATATTAGGTTATCTGTTCATTTTTTATTTATATAAAAAAATGTTTGATTATTACAAATAACAATTTTAATATTTTTAATTTGAGTAATACAAGTAACACCCCTTTTTTAACACGCTTTGTATTATTAGGTGAATATCATGTGGATCATACTAAATAGAGATCAAGTCTAAAAAATTTTAAAAGAGCGCCCGTGTTGCTAAAAATTATATTATATTTTAAAAAACAAAGAAATTTTCATGTAAAAAATTTATAAAAAAGGATTTTTATTTTAAACCATCAAATTTCACATCGGTGTGTATATAAAAAAGAAAGAACATTAAATAGTTTTGCACCAAAAAGCAAAAAATTTTAAGTAGTTCGGTAAAAAAAACCCTTTAAAAAGTTCCTGTACCAAAAATAAATTATAACAGCCTTAACAGGATAGGAATACGAGGCCCTTGTCTACTATATTTTCCATTGAGCCCATTTTGTTTGCTCTTCTGCTTTTGGAGGTCCAGAACCTTAATAATAATAATGAGAATAACAAGGAAGCACTATGTTTTGCGTTCCCCCCTGACACGTAAGATTTTGTTTCGCAAATCTCGAAGTCCAATCCTGCCTAAGAAATATTTGGATTGAAGCACATTAGTTTAATTTGCTCACTAAAGTGTTCAATATAATTTAAGGTGTCACTCTTTCTGAAGTTGTTGTAAATAAGTTATATGCACTAAGTCTAATACGATGTCATTTTAAGACAAAAATTATAGTGTTTTTATAATTTTAATTTATTTCAGGGTTATTATAATTTTTATAATTATAATTATTGAATTTTTCAATCCCAAAATGACATCATTTTGGGAGTAAATGCAGAAACTGCAGAAATATTATTCTGATAATTTAATTATATGATATAAAATTAGACTTATTAAATAATTGTTATTACAATAATATATATGATTGATCGAATGTGATTAAAAAATACATGATTAAATAATCTAAGTGAATTTTAATTTAAAAGTATATATATATATATATATATCTTCTCAAAATAGCAAATCAGTAAGAAGTAGAACTAAGAACATTGAGAGTTTTAACACCACATTTAATGACAGATACACCAACTCAACCGCAACAAAATCTTCTATATACTAATAATGGATTCATGACAATTCAGTCTAAAAGTCAAGTTCTATTTTGGTTGATTGAAGTTTGCAGTCTTTTGAGCAATGAGAGTATGGGCTGTTTCTTTAACATAAATTGCATGACAATGACATAGCAACCTACATGCACATATAGGCCACCAATGTAGTGTAGTTGCGTGGATATATGCAGATGACTGAATCAGTGAATTGTGACAGCCATTAAGCCATGAAGAAAATGAAAGCCATGGAGTCCTATTTCACTGGGCCATCAAGCTTGGTACACTCTGTTCATGGATTGATGGGTCCTGAATAAGACTTATCCGCATGAGCAACAGCGTTCTATAATTTATTTATTTATTTTATTTTTTTTAGCAATCTTGATTTCTATATGCAAATCCGTCATAGCATTCACTAGCATTCATGGACCATAAAATTCAAGTCAATCGTTATATGTGTAAAGATGCAAACACCTTAGTATAGGTGTCATGGTGGATGGTCATGCCTTCGACATCAGTATCACATCAAGTTTTGAAGACTTGCTTGAGCATGTGCCAAGTGAATTATAAATTCCTTTGCACCAACATAATAAGCACGTACAAGTTTTGGTTGCACAAACAAGCTAGCACATACCAAGCCCCACATTGAGACTCAAATCTAAATTATTCACTAACACCAAAATTTTCATTCTAACTTTATATGCAGACACAAACATGTTCACAGGTTTTGAATATATTCAGTGGCGGAGTCTGAAAAACTGGAAAGCTAGTGTCAAAAATCAGCTAATTATGAAAAAAGCTAGTGCCAAAACCAGCAGCTATGGAAGAAACAAATCATTAATAGTCATTGAAGATCAAAAAAAGCTTCTGATTTTGGAAACCAGCCAATATCAAGGCACTTGTTGGTTCCAACGTGGCTACGTCACTGAATATATTTGATATCTCCGTATGAAACTGTATCATATTAGGTTTGTGAGGAGGCAGAAAAATTTTCATTGCATTGCATGAGATAGAACGCCACTTAAAGGGGCCAGAGCAACATGCCTCCTCCAAATTGAAATAAAATAAAATAAATATAGTCACTAGAGGAGGAAATCCAACCATTCAGAATGTACAAAAAAGTATGCATTTTTGTTTTGCTTAGAGTTAACAAGACAATCATGGTTTCTTTGGTTTTACTTCTCCAATTTTTCTCTAAAACTTTGCTATACGGTCAATTTAGGTAACAGGTCTAAACTTCCCCCCTCTCTTTCGAACAAAAAGTTCATCAATGAAGCACATTGCTCGGTAGTTTCTCGTCGTGAAGTATGTGCTGGAAGTAGTACAAGGGACATAAATATAAGCAAAAGTGTTGAAAGGAATTAAAGGATCCATATCAAGTTAAACAATCTCTCACATGCATTTATATAATCCTTTGAAACCCATGTGAACAGCACTAGAACAATTAAGAGATTCTCTAACTCTGTTGTTTCAACGCTTGTATTTTTCCGTGTTTTTGTACTCTTAAGCCTTGTAATAAACAAGCCTCTAATTTGTGTTTTCTTGTGTTTTTGTTTTAAATCAAGCATTACATTTACATGATGAATAACAGAATGTCTTTGAATGTCATGTGGATTGTATTCCACATGTAGAACAGTCAATGGAGAAGATAACTCAAAACTATGGACTCTCCTACTGGCCCCACTCTAATGGATATTCTGCATCAGAGATAAGATGAATTAAATTCTTGAGATTGATGTTCTAAACATATCTTTACATGTCAACTCCAGAAATTTATATCTTTCCTATTATCAGATAATATAAGAACTTTCCAAGAAAATACATTACTCGTATTCTATGATCAAGAGCCTCACTTTATGGTTTTAGGTTGGATTCGTTGAATCATTATTAATGTTTTAACCATAAAAGGACCACCTTCAATAAAAAAACTTAACATGAATCAAATTATTGTGTCTTTGTTTTTGTCTACTCCGTCTTCTTATAAATTATTGAAATGATAATGGATTAAACTGAACAACCCTAGGACCATATTTGCAGCTGTTACTGACATTTTCAATTAGTCATTTGCAAATTAAAAATACTCTGTTAAAACAACGTACAGAATAAGCTATATCTATCAATCAGGGATGGGTTTGGATTGGAAATTAACTTTTCTGATTTCATTTATATATTTTGATTGTTTTCCAATAAATACCTCGGTTATCATTTCTCATTCACAAATTACAAGGATTAAGGAATCAAGTAGAGAATTAGAGAAGGAAATGAGCCAAATCCCAAGGTGGTGTTTCCTCCAACAGAACACCTAGTCAAATTGGGAGCATATAAACGTGCCATGTGACTGCCAACTAATTGTTTATTAGAAGATATCCTTGAAAACAATACAAATCACTAGTCTATCGTGGTTAAGATGGGCCTAGCCCTATTAATTTGATATTCATGTATAAGCAACCACTGGTTTGACAGACTTGGTCCCTTTTGTTTATTTTCCTTTTGTTGGAGAACATTATTTGCATGCAATTCATTGAGCATTAATTATAATTTAATTTATTCATTTACTGCACACATGTCAGTAGCCAACCACTAGTTTTAGGCAAAGTAACAAATAGATGCAGATAATGTCACATCTTTTTACAATAGGATATGGAGTTTCTATTTTTTTTCTATCAAATTATAAATCTGAAAGATCCAAACATTACAGCCTGCAAGAGTACACTTGTTACTCAACAAAGTTTTGACACATGCACAAGTACCTTTAGTATTACTATATTCAGTCATCACCTAAGCTAACCAATCTAGCTATTTAAAAAACTTTAATAATGGTGGTCCCCTCACTCATGAGTACTAGCGTAGTACGAAATTGTAACATAATTTGATTGAACTATTTGAAGTTTCTTGCAGTGCTTGTGAATATTTGGGATTCAATACCATCAGTATAATTCAATTTTTTTTTTTTAAAAAAAAAAAATTGAAATAACTCTAGCAAGCTCCAAGTTCTCCAAGTTTATTAAGCAATCTTGCAGGGAACTGCAAGCGGATTCTGCTCAACATATTGCATAAAAGCAAGCTCTTGAACCCACATAGCCTTTGGTTGTAGGAAGTGTAAAGGTTATATGACTTCTAGCATGGTCTTGGTATCAGGATACAAACCTGGTTAGGGTCAAATGGAAAAAAGTTAACTAAAACAAACACTTGAATACTTAATACACACAACTCTTTTAAGTCTTTACTGCACGGATAGGAGGGCACGTGCACCCTAACTCAATCACCTGTTAGTGGATCCAACAAGGTCTTATTTTCTATAGTTCATGACCCCTACCATGACCCTCCACTGGACACCTTCCCTACACAAATATGAGTATTTTACACGGATGCTGCATGTTCTTGACCTATTTTCACATGGTTTCTGATCCACCCCATCCCATATTAACCGACAACTGAATTCACCACAACACCCTTGGCAGCCACTAAAGAGGGATACTTACCCGTGAGGACAGCATGGGAACTTCAAAATTCTTTTTTCATTTTAGAGGGCAAGGAATCTATAACAGTAGTGCTTCAGATTGTGGCAAGTGGCTTATAAAGGGAGTTTCCTCTTTGCTTCATTCCTTACCTAATTACGTGGCAAAGAGACCCAAACATACTCTGAAAATGGTGGTTAGTATTTAGTAAAGAAAAGATGTAATGAGACAGTGAGTTTAGGCTGTCAAATAATGTTATCTATTTTTAATCAGGGGACCCTAGTATTGAAAGCAACTTATCAAGTATAGACATGAAGAGATCTACAAATCATTTTGTTACTTTCTTCAAAGTTGTTGCTACTATCAATGTCAGCTTACTAGGTGTTTGAAAGAGATGGGGAGGACAAGCAAATGGCTTAAAAACTTCTTGACAGGGAAGAAAGACAAGGAAAAATCTGCAACTAACCTGAATTCTTCAAATGGAACAGAAAATCCAACTACTCCAATTTCAACAACCCCAAAGGAGAAAAAGAGATGGAGTTTTAGAAGATCATCAGCCACAGCCACACCACCAACAGCTTCAAAGGAATTGAATTCTGTAGAATCAAATGCCACTGCTTCACAGACAGTGCAAGCTGCCACGGATGCTCAGAATGAGCAAAGAAAGCATGCCATGGCTGTGGCTGCTGCTACAGCAGCAGCAGCTGATGCAGCAGTGGCAGCTGCACAAGCTGTAGCTGCTGTGATCCGCTTGACTTCTGGTTCCAATGGAACATCTAGAAGTATTGAAGAAGATGCAGCCATTAAAATCCAATCCGTCTTTCGGTCCCACTTGGTATGTAACTTTCATTGAAGCTAGTTTTCTCTTTCATTCTCAAAGGGAATGTACTGGTATGTGAGTATGTGATATATGTCAATGTTTCTGTGACAGGCAAGAAAAGCATTGTGTGCTCTGAGAGGACTAGTGAAATTGCAGGCACTGGTAAGGGGTCACTTGGTGAGGAAACAGGCCAAGGCAACACTGAGATGCATGCAGGCTTTGGTGACAGCACAAGCCAGAGCTCGTGCTCAGAGGATCCGAATGGTGACAGAAGGAAAGGCTAATCAAAATCAATCAACGCAGAGAAACACTACTGAGGACAATTTAATCAGGCATATGTATAATGTCAGTACCATAACTGCTCCCTATAATCTTTTGATAATAATATGATGGTTGAAATTTTCTGCATTGATGTCATTCACATGATGGGAAATTATATGAGGAATTAAAAGATTTGTTTATTTGCAGAGTCTTTTCATTTCCAGTCTGATACAGAAATCATGTTAAATTTCATTTTGAATTAATTGGTAATGCATTCTACTAAGAGCCACTGTCTCACTGACATTAACAAACAAACTTGCTAATAAATTCAATTCATGCCAAGAAAATTGCTTCTTTTGTTTAAATTTCTTGCAAAAGTCAAAGAAAAATATGGTGAATCTTTGATATGAAATGTGGGTTCTGTGCATGTAGGAAATGGATAGAGGTTTGGAGGACAACATCAAGATTGTGGAGATGGATGTTTGTGAATCAAAAGGTGACTCTAGAAGCAGAAGCAGCAGTACATATAGTCATGGACATAATGAACAGTCTAACCATAGATTTTCAACACACTATTCAACAAATGGTTCATATTCAAAGGAAGAAAACTACAAGGTATCACCAACACAATCAGCTTTGACAGAGTTGACTCCAAGAGCCAGCAGTGGCCATTTTGAGGACTGCTTCAGTACAGCACAGAGCAGCCCCCATTACTATTCTGCAGTATCTAGAGCAGATGATTCAAAGCATCCCTTTGCTTTCCCTACGCCATCCTATGCAGAATCTATGTCCTATGACTATCCTTTGTTCCCAAATTACATGGCTAACACAGAATCATCAAGGGCTAAAGTCAGATCACATAGTGCACCAAAACAAAGGCCAGATTCATATGAGAGGCAACCCAGCAGAAGAAGAGTTTCAGTGGAAGGAAGAAATGTCCCAAGGCCAGTGAGGATGCAAAGGTCATCTTCACATGTGGGTGCCACTGCACAGAATTACCAATATCCTTGGTCAATCAAGCTTGACAGATCCGCAGTTTCACTCAAAGACAGCGAGTGTGGCTCTACAAGTACAGTGCTCACAAACACTAATTACTGCAGATCGCTTGTTGCTTATGACGTAAGTACTCACCATTCTTGTACTACAAGTTTCTATCATATAGCTGAATGCAACAGAAAAACAAGAACAATATTTCATAGAAATTATGTCTGAAAAAAGAAGAAGGATAAGTTAATCATGTTTAACCATTGCATGCTTTGATTGCAGCCACATGGAGATAGGTACTGAGAGTGCACCTTGTGCTACACCAAATAGCAGGAACACAAAAAATCTAGAAGGGTTTCAGGTTGCTCTGTTCTTTCTTCTCCTTTCAAAACATGGGGTAAGTTATATTTATAAACTTTACAAACTACTATATGTATTTCGGGAAATGCATTCCTAACCGAGTCTATTCCCGAGAATATATAATTAAGTTTGTAAACAAAAAGTTTGTATTTTTCCTCAAAACATATAAATAAAATTCTGGTTTTACAATATAGAGTTATTGCAAGGGATTTATTTAAGTCCAACTTTTGTAGAGTTTTTTCTTCATATATATTCATTGTTAGCCATGTCTTTGGATTATTACTTTGTGAGAAGTCATTGTAATGGTTTATGGTCTGTATAAATTTTACCAAGTGAGATATTTCTTAACAGCAGTGCTTTGCCAAGGAGTATTTTCTTTTCTTTTCTTTGATCTCTTTCTATCTTTCTCTCTTTTATGTTGCTTTTTTTGTGTGAAGAAAATAGAGTAAAGACGGAAGGAAACGTTATACTCATTCATGAATTATATATAGAGGTGAAAGAGATATCATATCATCTAGAATTTGGAATACAAGTAGAGAATATAGGACCTTTGTTTGAACCAAGCTCAAGTGATTGTCTAGCTATGACAAAAAACCAACAAAATGCACTTTTGTAATTGGTCGAGATTGCCGTCAACATTAATCACTTATGTTAGGTTTGAATATTAATCGAAGACATACATGGTCTACACAAAGAAAATAAGCACATATTTTGATAATAAGGTCATCAAAACATAAAGCAGTATTAAATTTCATAATTGATAGTCACAATAAAAAGAAAAAGTTATTAATGCTTAACTCTGCACGTTATCGTTCAGTCCGTTAAGGTAACGCTAGCATTACTTCAATAACAATCCATTAGATCTCCAAAAAAAATAAAAAGAAATAACAATCCATTAATTTTGACACATCAGTGGTTTTTTTTCTCTCTCTCTCTCTCTCCCTCTCTTTCTCTTTTAATTTCTGCACATACCAAGAACAACCTTAATGCAGCATTGGCCTAAGCTATAAAGAAAACATGTCTAATTAAGTTAATTATAATAGATCACGGTTCTGTGATATCCATAATGGCAATAAAATAATGAGAATTGGGCTACCTCAATCAATAATAATAATTATAATAATATTTCATAAAGGCCGTTGAATGCTTGTATATTGGTCTTTAAGGCCCAAGTAGTTTTGTATCAATTTTCCAGCTTGACAATTTGCAGTTATGTTGAGTCCATCGTTGTTTCAAATTCCCTAATCAAATAAAGCAATTCAGGGTGTTAAAATTGCGAGCCCGTATCATAGTCAAATAAAGCAATTCAGGGCATGAAGTATTCTGATTAATAAACCACAAGAATTCCTTGATCATCTCTGAAAATGACATCATTAGCATGAATAATTAATCAAACAAAAGTAACAAATTAGGACCTTAATTAATTTTGTAACATCTCAGGCGCTGACGAAGGCGGGGAGTGATCGCCGATGCGAAAGGACATGAACAAAGAGCTCCTGACAGGCTTCCAGCGGTGGTTACATAAGCGAATGAATCGAATCGACACCCGAAAGAGAGGGATTGTAACAGCCCCAAACCCTGTAGCATGATATTGTCCGCTTTGCCCCGCGCACAAGCACCGAGCTCACGGTTTTGTTTCTTGGGACACCCCACAAAAGGCCTCACACTAGAAGAGGTATCTACACCCTTATAAGGCATGCTTCGTTCCCCTCTCCAACCGATGTGGGACATTACATCCTCCCCCACTGGGAATACAGCGTCCCCGCTATACACACCGGTCCAGGGCCAGGCTTTGATACCAAATGTAACAGCCCCAAACCCCTGTAGCATGATATTGTCCGCTTTGCCCCATGCACAAGCACCGTCGAGCTCACGGTTTTGTTTCTTGGGACACCCCACAAAGGCCTCACACTAGAAGAGGTATCCACACCCTTATAAGGCATGCTTCGTTCCCCTCTCCAACCGATGTGGGACATTACAGGGATTCCAAAGACTGTGCAGGTATGAGAGACTGTACAGTTTGGGATAAGTTATAAGAATTAATTGGTACTACCTATACTAACAAGATACATCTGCTTTTTGGTAGCCCGGAACGGAAGAACTCCATAGTTAAGCGTGCTTGACTTGGAGCAATTCTAGGATGGGTGACCTCTTGGAAAGTTTCCCAGGAAGTTTGCGAGTGAGAAAAAAGCACACTAAAAAGTCTCGTGTTAGTATGTGGGGATAGTCGTTGTTGATTCTTGATGCGGCCGGGCGTTACAAATTTCAAGGAATTAAAGGGTAATATTCATGGGAAAATTGTTTGTTCTTTAAAAGGATGTAAGTTGTATCCTTTTTATTTTTTTACTCTATGTACTTCTGGTAGTACATAGTTATAACATGAAATTTTTTTTTTCTCTCCTCAGTCAAATCAGTTGACGTTAAAAGTGAAAAAAAATCTTTTTATGTTATAATTATGTACTTACGAGAGTATATAAAGTAAAAAATTAAAATGATATAACTTCCGTCTTTAAAAAATTGACAGAAAGGAAACCCATATATCATATGAATTTTATTTTATTTTTCACTGTGACATGATTACCAAGAATACAAAAACGGCATACACCTCTGCTAACACCATCAAAATTAACTAATGCAATGTACAAACAAAAACCCTTACCACAAGGTGCTTGAGTGTTGCAAACCCCAAGAAAGAAGTGGAGTGAAAATCGAATTTTTTAATATCCTTTGTTTTATGGTGTGAAAATTGAAACGGTAATAAACGGTTTCACACTTGTGCAACAAAAATTCAATATGGTAGCAAATGATGGTAGCTAAGGAAAAGAATATATGGTAGTGAGAGTATGTACTGGTCGATCCTTTTCAATACTATTTTTGTGAAGGATTTAAAACTTTAGTCTGGGACCCATTTTAAATTGAACTAGTCACGAAACGATAAATCGATTGAAATATCTCTAAAAAAAACTTGATATGGTTGAAAATGGAGTGCAATTTACTTATGAATTTTATAATTCTCATGTTGAATGAGAATATAAATCTTATATTGTAGAGATAAAAATTATGTGGGATCCATATGTTAAAAAAAATTATATGTAAGACTCGTGTCAGCACGGAAATCAAAGGATCATGTTAAATGAGAATTATAAAACCCTTTATTTATACTCCCCTAAAAGATTTTGACAAATTCTTGTATATAACATACAAGTTAGTAGAAAGTTTCTTACACTATCTACCAACTAATAATGTGTAAAAATTAAGTCAACAAAAAAAAAAAAAATCAAAATATGTGAAAATCAAAATATTTTCATCTGACTTTATTCACTTCCCATCTTAGTTTTCTTTTTCCTTTTTTCAATTTTTCACCTAAACTCAGAGAACGACAACCTTATGCCTACCGAACTTTCGTACCCTTTCCGGAGTAGCTTGATTTTATAAAATTCTTTCATTTACAATTGCTTAATGACATATGTTTTATTGAAAAAAATTTAAAAGGAAAAATTCTTTGATGATATAGCTGACATCGTGTAGCTCGTGTTTTACTTAGTCTAAGTAGTTTGGTTATGGAACGTATTGACTTCAGCGAAGAGACATTCTAGAAAACCAATAGCAATACGCCTGGTTTTCTACTATCGCCCTTATTTTACCCTTGGTTGTCCAAAACTATTTATACGTGTTATATATGGTTATACACTTAATTATACCCTCGTATCTACGTTTCACCAAACAATAGCATTTTACACTTGATACATTGGCCCCTTCTGTCCTCATACATTTTAAAGGGTATTATTTGAGATGATGAATTATTGAATGGCAATTTAACATAAGTAGCACTCACTGTAATCCTCCTAAATATTGTTTTATATAAATAACACTATTCACTATATACTTGGCTCTCTTGTGCTTATCCTTTTCTTCTAAGCTTCAAATACAATATTCCCTCTCTTTTTTCTTAATAAAATAAAACGATGAAGAAATGATCTTCCTTGGCTATCATGTGGTGTTTGACTTTGATCGGCTTTCTATCCTTTCTTTACATTAAGTTTCCTATTACAAGTGGGAGAAAATTAAACAGGTTTCATATCACAAGAAAACGATTTCCTTAAAGAATATTTATTTTCTTAAATTTCAAGCATGCTTGAATAGACCCATGTAGCTAAGCTTTTTCTGTCCTTGAATCTTATTACCTACTCTACCGTCTTTAGGGCTCGTTCGTATTGCCTTCTCAAGAAAGTTCTTTTTATCACTTCCTTATTTTAAAAGTATTTTTTATAAAAGTTACAACTATTTAGTTTTTTAAAAAAAAATTTGATTTTTGAAAAAAATATTTGGCTTTTGACTTCTGCTTTTTGTTAAAGCTAAAATTTTTAGCTTCTGAAAAAAGTAAGTTTTTGACTTTTTTTATGACTTCTACTTTTTTTAGAAGCAGTCATCCAAACAGACTTTTTTCGAGAAGTGCTTTTTTTTTCTTAAAAAAAGCAGCTTTTAAAGAAAAAAAAGCCTATCCAAACAGGCTCTTAGTCTAACTTATTATGAAGACTTGGCTTCATTTCCCTGTTGTTTTGAAAGAAACTGAATTATAAAATTTTTAGTTTACGACACCACTATTTATGCCAGTTGAATTACATAAGGTGATCACATTGAATTTAACTAGGCAACTGAGGTAGAAAGTGCTACTCTAAATTCTAATTTGCTTGAGGAAGAAAATGAAAAGACTGAAAGATACTTGAACAACAAGGACGTATGGAATTGGAAAGCGTTAATTGGACGTCAAAATTATAGAAGTTCTAACCTTTCAACTTCATAGCTTTGCTTTCAGTCACATCATAACATTTGTTGAATTTTGGTACATATTGTGTCGAGTATTGTATCATCAGGGATTCTGTCAGATTTCTTTGCTCGTAGCCTCATAGCCTCATACTTCTATTACTTTTTTTTTTTTTTTTGAAAACAACATAGTTCTATTACTTCTAAAAGGAATATAACTAATCAATTATTTCTTTTGGGAAGCAAGTCACTATTAACATGAACTTGAGTTTAGAAACTACAATAATCTAGAGCAAACAGTTTATCTCTATTCCAATGTGAAATTATGTCCATTTGATGGGTCAATACAATCTAACGGATCATGAAAGTCAATTTGCTAAGTCGCATAGTCAAAAGGAATGCATATATTCGCTTATATAAATAAGCAAATATGGTAAAAACCGTGTTTTGGTGAGATCAGGCACCTTCCAGCCATCTACATGTAACAAACATCAGCATTGTTATCCTTTATAATGCATGCCAGTTCATAGCCATGATGTCATATAAAAAAATGTGTACACGGAATAAGAAAGAAACAACTAATACTTTGATGCTCGTGTCTTAAATTAGGAATACGGTCCTAGACATATATAGTGCTGTTATTCCATTTTGGCGCGTGGCTAAAGTTAAAACTCACGCCAAACCAATCATAGCTAACATTAAAACTTAATTTGAGACCTTTCTTTAAAGAGGGAGAAACTAGTAAAGGTCATTTGACCGAGTTGAATATATATAGAAGCATAATTATGTTATAGACATTCAATAAAAATACAAAAAACAGTGTACCAAAAAAATAGACAAAAGAAATTATAGAAAGCAACGAGATATATAAGTCACATGCTTCATTTTCCCAAAATAAAAGTCTAATACCAAAAGCTGATTAGATGTAATGCAGTCAGTTTAAATGTCACACCTAAAGAATTAGTCATTATTTTATTAGAACAATATCAATTTGCACCCACCAAACTTGCAAAAATACTCCAACATGCACCTTTATATAAACCCAAGTTCCCGTGACATAAAATCAGAAAAAAAACCAAACTCATCATCATTAATGGCCTCTCATTCTCCCAAAATAGGAGGCCCTTATCAATTTACTATACCATTCTGGGTTTCCCTCCTTATCATTCTAATCTCGATTAATCCCTCACACCAATCTGAACACTCATCCCCTCTCTCCCAACTAAATCCAAGGCTCTCCAAAGCTTACACAGCTCTCCAAGCATGGAAACACTCAATCACTTCTGACCCCAAGAACTTCACCTCCAATTGGTGTGGCCCTTATGTTTGCAACTACACTGGCATCTACTGTGCACCAGCCCCAGATGATTCACACATCCTTACAGTTGCTGGAATAGACCTAAACCATGGCAACATAGCTGGATCATTGCCAGAGGAACTTGGCCTCTTAACTGATCTAGCCCTTTTCCACATAAACTCCAATCGCTTCTGTGGTTCCCTCCCAAATAGCTTTAGCTACCTTCACCTTCTCCATGAGCTAGATATCAGCAACAACCAATTCTCAGGAACATTTCCTGAGGTTGTTCTTTGCCTCTCTTCACTAAAATTCTTGGATATCAGATTCAATGGGTTTCAAGGCAAAGTTCCTTCGAGCCTTTTCAACCTTAAACTCGATGCCCTTTTCATCAACAACAACAAATTTCAATTCTCTTTGCCTGAAAACTTTGGGAACATTCCTGCCTCTGTGGTTGTGTTTGCAAACAATGACCTCAGGGGTTGTATTCCATCAAGTTTGGCCAAAATGAAGGATACCCTTAACGAGATTATCATAATGAATAGTGGTATAAATGGTTGTTTGCCACCGGAAATAGGGAATTTGGACAAAGTCAGAGTGTTTGATGTGAGCATGAACAATCTGGTTGGAGAATTGCCTGAATCCATGGGAAGAATGAAGAGTTTGGAACAGTTAAATGTGGCGCATAACATGTTGTCTGGCACGATTCCAGAGAGTATATGCACACTGCCAAGGTTGGAGAACTTCACGTATTCATACAACTACTTCTGCACTGAATCACCATTGTGTCTCAAGTTGCCAGATAAGGATGATCGAAAGAATTGTATTCCTTATAGGCCATTGCAAAGGTCAACTCACGATTGTGCAGCTTTTTATGCTCATCCTGTTGATTGTACTTCGTTTGGTTGCTCCTTTAGAACTGCATCACCACCTCCACCTCCTCCTCCACCACCTCCTCCTCCACCTCCACCCCCGCCGCCACCACCACCTCCGCCTCCACCTCCGCCACCACCGCCTCCACCTCCGCCACCACCACCACCTCCTCCTCCGGCAGCTTACTACCACTATCTCTGATGATGTCTGAAAATAAAATTTTGTAATATTTTACCTTTTTTTCTATATTTATCATTTTTTTTAAAGATATGAAAGATCGCCTCAGTGAATATATATATAATAGAGTTGATTGGCATTTGGTCATACGTTTACCCTGTAAAAAAGAAAAAAGAAGAAAAAAAGGTGTAAATTTGGCTTTGTTTAAGGAGCCTTGTTTTGATATGAGAATATTTGGATTCTTCGTCTTCATCGTTGATAGAATAATCTTTATAATTTTATTACCTACGCATATATAAAAATAAGTGTTATTTATATTTTCTTTTTTTCTTTCTTTTCCTCACATAGCCACACATAAGTTCCATCCACTTTTATATATATAGAAGATAAAATTAGAAAATATTAATCCCTCATTATATATACGTGTTACTTTGTTAGTATTGTGGCTTACGAAAATAGGTTTTTTTTTTAATAAAAAGACTATAAATATATAGAACTCTTTTGGATGAACCTTTTTTCAGAAAAAAAACACTCCTTAAAAATTGTCTGTTTGGATGCATGCTTTAAAAAAAAAAATTATAAAAAAATCAAATACCTGTTTTTTTTTTTTTTTTTAAGTTAAACATTTTAGCTTTTAAAAAAAGCAGAGATCAAAAATCAAATATTTTTTTAAAAATCTAAATAATATTAGTTTTTGTAAAAAATATTTCTAAAATAAGCTACGTATAAAAAGTAATTTTTTTGGAAGCCAATCCAATCTTGGTCAAATAAGTTGAAAAGGAAATTTGAATTACATTGTTACTTTTTCATGTTTTTCCTTGCTGTAATTAATATCAACGGGGCAAAGGAAAAAACGGGTGAGAGTGATGGAGAACCGAATATTCATGATTGTCCAAATACTCGAGTCCAAACCATAATTTTAGAGGTGAAACTAAGGGGGCGTTTGGTACGCGGCATTTGGCCGGATTCTCGGGAAACTGAATTTTTCTAAATTTTAAATTTTCGAATATTATCGTAAACTGAATGTAAAAATCATATTTTTGAAAATTGAGATTCCCGGACAAATAAAAATTTCTCCTGTACCAAATGCCCCCTAACAGTATTTTTGCTATTTAAACAAATTCATCACTTGCCCAGTCAATGACAATGATTTAGTTTTATAACTTGAATTCATTGGATATAGTCCTTTAGTCCTTACCATTATTGATTGTCAAAATAATTTTGTTCTATATTCGAACTTACTAATTCAAATGCCATAGTTTAATTTGATTCTGATCAATTATTTCTAAAACTTACTAACGCGAGATACTGAGTCATGGAGCTAATATTATGTATTTTCATTCAACAACAGTATTGTGTTTTTTTTTAATGAATATGATATTCTTACAATATTTAATCTAATATTTTTACATTGTTCTTATCTATCTAAAATAGCAAGTAATTAGCACATTTTAATAGTTATCAATAAAGATATGAAATACTAATAGGTTATTGCATATAATTAATCAAGAGTGAAGTAGTAGAAATTGATTCAAAAAATTAATTCAGTTTTTTCTTTTTATGTTTTATAATCATTGTTGACATTTATAAAGAAGTGATTGCCTGCCGTATGGCTGAAGATTTAATAGCTTAATAAACTATATCACAAAAGCTATTTAGTTGGTTTTTGGTGTTCTTTAAAGTCATGGTTTGCATCAAAAGATTTTGGAGTGGAGATAAGTAGATTTTAATGATTATTTTTTGGGTTTAACGTTTCTTATATCATAAGAGATAAAATTATCTTTTATACGCATATAAATGTTTATGAGACCCATGAAAAAAGAAAAAAAAATATAAATCTTATATATTTTATGTATTTAAAAAATAATTTTATCTCATATAATATGAGAGCCGTTAAACTCTTATTTTTAACAAACGATGGAAAAGAGGAAAATAGAAATCGTCGGTGACAACTTTTCTCTTCTCAATTGCGAAAAGAAGGGACAGACTTAGGTGTTATAATTAAATTACAATTCTATCTACCTCTTTGTTTTACCTACTTTGTCAACCACAAGTGCAATATTAGATTTTCGTGGTAGGGAGGGAATGTTCCATTATATTTTATATTTAACCCTGTGGGTTGCTTTACTTGCTCATTCCAAAATGTGTAAATTTTTGTTTATAATGTTTAAATTTATTTGAGTGTCAATCTTTTTATTTATTTGTTATCAAGTTTATTTATTTATCTTAAAATAATTGTGTACGATTTGTAAAATAGAAAAAAAATAAAATAAATTTATTACACTGTAGTAAGGGTATTAAATATTTCATTTATTTATGTTTTCTTTTATATTCTACACAACCAAGTAAAAAAAAATTTCTTTTCTTTTATTTTCTCTTCATCTAAACAAAAGGAAGAAAAATATATTAGTATTTTTATTTCCTATTTTTTCATTTTTCTCTTTCCATCCAAACAAAGGATAAATTTAATGAATCTCACAACAAGTTCACAATCAAATTCATGAAATGAAAAAAAAAAATATAGATAAAATAAAAACTTGAAGGGATTAAAAATATGTTTTTCAAAGAAAAAATATTAAGGGATATTATTCAAAAAAAATATTGAAAAGCCATCGGCACTTCGCCATGTACATAATTGTGTTTTTTTTTTAAGAAAGAAGGAGCAGAGCCCAAACAACAATTGCTTTTCAATTATAAAAAATCTCAACCCATAAATTTTATCTTTTTAATCATAAAATAAACGTGTCGGTGTCCGACACATATTTTCACCTAAAAAAATATGTTGATGCTTCCTAAATTATAACTATGTGTTATCAGTAAGACATAGTTATAATATTAAAGTTTTTTTTTCTGTCATGTGATCAGTAGACAGCTTTTTGATAAAAGAGAAAAAAAATAACTTTTAAAATTATAACTAAATCTTATCGATAAAATATAATTGTAATTAGTTCCTGCAAAGTTTTTTGCTTTACAGAAGAAGTGATTTTGCCTTTTTATAATTGCTTTTTCGTGCGTAACTTTAATTTTTCATTTTAGAAACAACACAGAGAAGGGCTTCTTCAGACCCGTTGCACAGAAAGGGGGCTTACCTAGATGGGCCTAATAAAAATCAGATCAAGTGATAATGTGAACAGTTAAAGCCCAGTCCATAACCCTTGTTAATTATAATTTCTCTTCAAGGCCTCTAAGAGTCCGTTTGTTTGCACTTTTGAAAAAAGTAACTTTTACTCTTTTTTATTTTAGAAGTTCTTTTTACAAAAGTTAAAGTTATTTATATTTTTATAAAAATATTTAGATTTTGAAAAAAATATTTGACTTTTGACTTCTGCTTTTTTTAGAAGTTAAAATTTTTAGCTTCAGAAAAAAGTAGGTTTTTAACTTTTTTTGTGACTTCTACTTTTTTTAAAAGCAGACATCCAAACGAACTAAAAATGAAAAGTAATTTTTTTCAAAAAAAAAAAGTAACTTCTGGAGAAAAAAAGGTTCATCCAAACGAGCCCTAAGCAGAAAAAAAAGCCAAGCGAAGGTCCAGGTCCATGTAATGTTGATTTCAGAAAAACCCTACCTACACATGAAATCAAAAGCGGTGGCAACCAACCAGTGTTGAAGATAGCTGTTATTACCTTTTTCGAACGAATTTTTTTAAAAGTTATTTTATGTTTGGATGAATCATATAAAATATATTTCTAAATAAAAATATTTAAATATTAAAATTAATAAGTATGTTTTTTATATATAAAATTATTGAATATGTAATAGTAATAGTGGTAATGGATGGGTGGAATTGAGGTAAAATTGAATTTTTAAATTCTGTTTTTTCTAAAAATAAGGAATTTGACTTTTAAAAAAAGCATCATTTTATTTATTTTTTTAGTTTATGCCTTCTTTAGAATTTAGTATCCACATTCAAGCGCATTTCAGGGAAGATGTAGTAGAAGAGAAATTTTTTATGCCCGAAAATCATGATTTTTAAGAATATATGAAAAAATCACTTTTTTTTGGAAATGTAATCAAAAAATTATTTGGTAAGTTAAAATATCACCGAGATTTTATTCCCAAAAAAATGTAAAATTTTTCTAACATATGGGATTTCAAGAACATCACTCTTTTGATGGTATTCTTGGATAACATTTTGAAATAAAATTGTATACAGAATGTAGGTAAATAAGATTATCACTATTACTTTCTTGAGAATCTCAAAAAAAAATTTCCTACCAAACCCCCTTTATTGTTTTTTTAAGAAAAAAATATTTGCCTTTTTAAAAGATGATCAATTAAAACTAATATTTTTTATTTAGTATTTAAATTAAAAAAATCTTCCACTTTTTTTCTATAAAATTTATAAGGAAAAATGTTTGTCTTTTTAAAGGATATAATTTTATGTCATTTTAGATTTTAACCGTTGATTTTCTTCAATCAACGATTATAATTTATTGCAAATTAATAATTAATTAATAAGTTTAACTCACTAAATCATAACCGTTGATTGAGGAAAATCTATAATTAGATCTAAAATGACACAGTTATTTCCTTTTAAAAGAATGAATATTTTTCTCAAATTTATACATGTATCTCTTTCTCTCACCTGTAAATAATTTAAAAGGTAGGATATTGTGTTTACCAAAAAAAAAAAAAGGTAGGATATTGTAACAACCAATTAAAATTTTATCAATGTTACTACCAATCAATTTCACCATTAGATCGATTATGTTGATCAAACAGTTACATTTATTTTCATCTTTACATTAAATATGGAGAATCATAACCAAGGTGAGAATAAATATAAAGTATTAAATATGGAGAATCATAACCATACGTTGGATCAACAAAATCACAACCAACATTAACATCAACAACGCCTTTATCCCAAATTCAACAAAATCACAACCAATTAAAATTATTATCAATGTTATTACCAATCAATTTTACCGTTAAATCGATTATGTTGATCAAACGGTTACATTTATTTTTATCTTTACATTAAATATGGAGAATCACAACTTCACTTTGAGAATGTTCTGCATTGGATTTACCAAGAGGAGAAGTAACCAGGTGAAGAGTGATGGAAATCGACAATCACACAAAATCAAGAAAACAGAAAAAGAGATAAGAGTAGAGAGATTGACATGACGATTTACCCCGGTTCACCCAATTAAGGCTACTTTCAGCTTGTCTGTACTATATTCTCCTCACCGCCACTCGTTACAAGTCACTCGGTTTACAAAGAAAATGTAAATAGGATTAGAAAATCCTAACAGCAGCTATTCATGGGCCCAAGCCAATGACAGGGAGCTTTTCAAAAATTTAAAGCCAACCAATATCACCAAAGTCAGAATAGGCAATGGTGATTATATTTCAATCAAAGGAAAGGGGACTGTTGCAATAACAAGTTGCTCAGGTACAAAGTTTATTCCTGATGTCCTTTTTGTACTCGAAATTCAACAAAATCTGTTGAGTGTTGGCCAATTGATTGAAAAAGGATTTAAAGTACTTTTCGAAAATATAGTTTGTCTCATTCACGATGAGAATGGAAAGGAAATCATCAAAGCAAAAATGAGAGGCAAGAGTTTCTCATTTGAACCAATCAAGGAGGATTTCCACAGAGGAGAATGTGACTGAGACTTGGCACAAGAGACTAGGCCATTGTCACCTCTCAAATATGTTGTTGATGAAGAAGAAGGAGCTGTCAAATGATTTACCAACCTTTACAGATTATTTTGCAAAATTGTAATGCCTTTCAATTTGGCAAACAAAACAGAAATCCATTTCCTAAGTCAAGTTGGAGAGCCTTCAATAAGCTGCAGGTGATCCACTCAGATGTTTATTTTCATGAAGATAAGAAGTGGAACTGGACACAAGCACAAGAGGCATCCATGAGTAAGCAGAAATCAAGTCCTCTCATCCAAATAAGCAAAGAGCAAGGAGTGGAACATTGGCAAGAAGAGTTAGAAGATGACCCACCAGACCCACCAATTCGTGGAACAAGGTTGCTGTCCAATATTTATCAAAAATGAAATGTAGCCATTTGTGCACCTGCAAGCAAATTTGCATCAATAAACTAGTACTTCATTTCTCAATTATATTTTTCATCTCCAAAACCAACACTTGGTATTGCATTCTAACTGTTGTGCTCCAAATTGAACTTAGTGATATCATTTCTTTATATCTGAATTTGACAATTGGAAAATGGGTTTTGCCTTGTTTTATGTGTCTGTATTTTTTTTATTTGATTTTTGTTGGAGAGGGGACTACTCTGATTTTTCCTCTATAATATTGCATATTAGTAATTAAAAATACACCTTTGACTTTCCAGATACGTAGGAAGATGCGGGAAATCATGATCAACCATGCAGCATCCTGTGATTTAAAGGAGCTCGTCCGCAAATTCTTTCCTGAGATGATTGGAAAAGAAATAGAGAAAGCTACATCAAGTATCTATCCCCTTCAGAATGTGTTCATTCGAAAAGTCAAGATCCTTAAAGCTCCTAAGTTTGATCTTGGAAAATTGATGGAGGTATTTTTTTTAAATAAAATATCACTTTTCATTTTTTTTCATAGTTTACACCTCGTGAAATATGTTCCATTATTTCCTTTACATCAATAGAACTTGGTTGTTTAGTCATTCGTACTGATACTGAGTTTTCATATTCTTCGATTCACTAGTTGATTAACTGAGCTAATTTCAGCTGTTTTAAAAAAAAAAAAAATTTAACTCTTGCCAATTAACATGTCTGGCATGCACGTGTTTATAACCTGATCTAGTGGATTGATGTGGTACATTTGCTGTTTGGTCCATGTAGGTCCATGGGGACCTCTCCAAAGATGTTGGTACTAAGGTAGACAGACAAGCTGATGAAACAATGGCTGAGGGAACCACCGCTTGATTTAGTGATAATGCATTTTAGTTTGTTTAGGTTTCCTGTTACTTTGTGTTTTTACTGAAAATTAAGTTTAAATTTGAGTCCAATTTTTTCGATGTAAGCCGAGTGAACCAGTTTTGTTTTGCCGTGCAGAAAACCTTTTTTGGTTAGCAATATATATCTGGATTTTGTTCAGAACCCTCACATTCAGATTTGCATGCTTTAAACGATACTGGCTTTTTGTTATTGTGTTTATTGTTACATTATTGACATGTTAATTTAGTTTGGCAAATTTCTAGTTTGTATATTAAAAATATAGCGTTTATTCACCAAAAAAAATAAATATATAGCGTTTAATAGACCCCAAATTTCCAAGTGTCATTCTTATTACGTTAAGCTTGCATAATTTCCCCTTTGTTAAAAGACGGAAATTCGACTCTCATTTGTTGTTAGTGTGATATATATATATATATATATATATATATATGGAGCATGATATTCTTATACCAGTGTAAGAGTTATAAGTTTTACACTCAATCTTGACCATTATCTAATGGCTCACATTACTAAAAAATTTGAGTCCTTACATATAAGTAAGATTAACGGATGTAATGTCCCACATCGGTTGGAGAGGGGAACGAAGCATGCCTTATATAAGGGTGTGGATACCTTTCCTTGTGGGAGGCCTTTTGAGGTAACCCAAAACGTAAAACCGTGAGTTCGACGGTGCTTGTGCGCGGGGCAAAGCGGACAATATCCTGCTACAGGGTTTGGGGCTGTTACATTTGGTATCAGAGCCTGACCCTGGACCGGTGTGTACAGCGGGGACGCTGTATTCCCAGTGGGGGATGATGTAATATCCCACATCGGTTAGAGAGGGGAACGAAGCATGCCTTATATAAGGGTGTGGATACCTTTCCTTGTGGGAGGCCTTTTGGGGTAACCCAAAACGTAAAACCGTGAGCTCGACGGTGCTTGTGCGCGGGGCAAAACGGACAATATCCTGCTACAGGGTTTGGGGCTGTTACAACGGACAAGATTGAGAGTGTAACTTACACTGGTATAAAATGATCCTGAACCTATATATATATATATATATATATATATATATATAGTGGCGGACCCACTTGCGGTCATAAAAATTTTCATTTCAATTTTTTTTTTTTTGGTTATAGGTCTTTATTTGTCTCTTGGTTCAATATATATATTTGAAGTAAATATCCTTTTAAGTTCCTAACAAAAAAACACAGTTCCCATTTTAGTTCCTTACAAAAAAAATTAGTCTCGAGGTCCCTATAAAATTTAAAGTGGATCAATTTAGTTAAAATCGTGGTCTCTTACAAATTCAAAAAAGACCTACATTAGTCCCTCAAAAAGACCAAAATGGGTCTACTTTGAATTTCATAGGGACTAGGTGACTAATTTTTTTTTATAATGAACTAAAGTGGGGGACCGAATTTTTTGTGAGGGATAAAAATGATATTTATTCTTATATTAGTTTTTTTTGGTGAGGGGGTATTCTTATATTAGTTAACAACGTAGCAACGTACGAAGATGATTAAAACAACGTAGCAACGCAAATTGATTACAGAAAAAACTTATTCTTCCTCCCCCGTCACGTACCCATTCTCATGCTCTCTTCATCCTTTGTTTCCTTTTTTATTTTTATAAAAAGAGAGGATTGATTGCAGGTCTGATATTCTCAAATAAGTTAATATCTAGAGACGAGGCCATATAGGTAGTGTTGACTTTTTTATTCATCACTATAAAATAGAATGATGATGTATGGATATACTGGAATATACTCTCATATTTGTTTTGGAGGATTGGTAAGATTTAGGGGGGAAATAATTGGTTAAATTATTGCCTGCAGCTTGTTATGAAAGCAATTAGATTATGAGCGGGTTCAAGCGTTGATTTAAATTTTCTTTATAAAAAAAAAAATTCAGGGGCACTGCCCCCGAACCCCCGTCACTAAATGTGCGGATATGAACAAATTTTTATGGGTCTGCCACTATATATATATAGGGAAAAATATTTCTCAAGCAGCTTGAGATAAATTTATCTCCGGCTATCGCAAAACTACGTCATTTTATTTATTTATTTCTTATATTAATTGATTCACCTTTGAATGGTTATGATTCCTTTTTTTCTCTCTTCCTTTATCACCATTGATCCATCATTGTACGGTTATGATTTACTAGCCGGAGATAAAATTATCTCAAGCAGCTTGAGAAACGATAAGCCCATATATATATATAGGGTTCACTTTTTCTGTTGTTACTGAGATAAATTATCTGCAGTAAGCCCAATACGACGTCGTTTTGGGCAGAAATCATAGTGTTTTTGTAATTTTAATTTATCTCAGGATTATTATAGTCTTTATAATTACAATTTTTTAATCTTTCAATCCCAAAACGACGTCGTTTTATGAGTAAATGCAAATAACTTATCTGCAGTAATTGCAGAAATATTTTTCTTATATATATATATGAATTTATTATTCTTATGTTACATAAAAAAGAGTTTATCTTCTACACACAAATTCAAGATGAGTCTCATTCTACTTTTTCTTTCTCCCCCTCCTCGAGAGTGGATTCCACCTGCATAAATGAATCTGTAGGAGATAATAGTTATCTCTTACTGCATGAGAAAATTATTACCCATATATATATATGGGATAGGTTATTCTACCTACCATTTTTTCTGCCTACCACCCTCCAACATCGTTCGATCAGAATCTCAAGAAGAGAGAGAAAGATAAATGTTAGTTAAGATTCTGATCTAACAGTGTTGGAAGGTGGTAGGTAGAATAACTTATCCATATATACATACATATATATATATATATATATATATATATATATATATAGGGTTTGATTTTCTCATGTTCCATGAGAATTGAATTCTCATGTTGTGACTCAACTAATGGTGGACCCCATATTTATTAAAAAGAGAAAAAGAAAAAAAACTTTACACGTAAATCGAAGGATCACAACTTGATAATTGAATTCTTATGCAACATGAGAAAATATATATATATATATATATATATATATATGGGCTTTATTAATCTCATGTGACATAAGAGAAGCTCTCTTATGTCATAGAGATAGTTATGAGTGGGATCCACTCAGTTAAAGAAAAAAAAAAGCAACACGGAAGTCGATGTATGTGTAGGAGAGAAAAATACTCTCCTACAGCATAAGATAATATTTTCTATATATATATATATATATATATGGTCGATAATGGAACTTTTGATAGAAGGTTTTATGTCATCATCATTTAAGCTTCAAGCTCGTAGGCAATGTATGCATCAATTTAATTCTACACGTTCCAAATGGGCATATATATTTGTGGATCATTTTAATGAACACTGAACATGATAATATCTCTATTTTTTTTTTCCTGAGAACTCTATCCTTTTAAAAACCAGCCTTCTCCAGCACCCTATGGGAACCCACATTGTACACATCAACTAAAGCTTCAAGCATCCGAGGATGTGTGAACTAGCTGAATGCTGCTTTAATCAATTGTTTCACAACCTGTGTGTGCAATCCATTTACTCCAGTATATTGTGAACGTAGCCAAAGTTCGACGGATTTGTCCCTGGCTCGAACATGAGAACAAATCAATACACCCAATTGCACGATTGTGAAGGCAGATTGCTCTGAACCATAGAGCCTTGCTTGCTTTATTTTGGATGAAGTTAATGCCATCCTATTTGCCAGTGTATGGTTTGTTAATGAAGACATTGGGTGATATTATATCACTAAAAGATTTGAACCCATGTATAGAACTAGAGGAGGTAGATGATCAGAATTATCACTGTGCAATTATAATTATTAAAATTAAAGAACTGACTTACTTGAAATCAGATGATGATGCAATCAGAGTGATAGAACAGATAGAATGATATGTCAGAAGTAGAGAAATTAAATCCGAGCCCACAGAACGTGTCTCCTTAAGACAATTTGCCCCCTCACTGATGCCTAAGGTTGATGGACACTTGTCTCCCATGATAGAACGGATTACGTCTGAAGAATGGTGGCACTACCAATCAACAGCCCAAACGAACACAACAATTGCCAGAGGAAATCACACCGGAGGATGAACAACAGTATGCAAAACCGGAAGGAGAAAAATTCCGGCAGAGTTTAAGTGCAGAAAACTGGATCCATTTTATGAAGGTGTTATAGACACTGACCGGTCACGTTTCAAAAGGCACATATTCGACGATGAAACAACACATCCGTTGGACACGAAAAGACACATTCGTTCAACACGAAAAGGCACCCATTCAAGGATGAAACAACATGTCTGTTAGGATGAAACAACACATCCATTAGGATGAAACCACACATCTATTCGGATGAAACAATACATCCGTTCAGATGAAACAACACATCCGTTCGGATGAAACAACACATCCTTTAGGATGAAAAGATACATCTGTTTGTCGACGAAAAGATACACTCTTTCACTACCAAACTTCTTATTCATAACCAATAGATTGTCTACACAATTTATATATATATATATATATATATATATATAAATTCCAACATGGTTCCCAAGTTCAAAACCTGTCCACTTTTTCATTTAGTCCACAACATGAGATCATCAAGATCATTTGATTATCAACAACATCCTCTTCTTCCGCATCATCATGGATACATCTTGGCTTGGATGCATCCACGGCTTGATTATATAGAACCAACCAGATACAGTTTGTTTCAAAGCCAAAAACAGAAGACTAGATAGAGCATGTTGTTTGGGAAGAAGCTTTGAGTTGTGGCCTACTTGTTATGTGCTGAAAAAACTGTTTATAAAGGATTCTGGGTGGAGGAATAATTGTTAGTGGCGGTGTGCGTAAAGTGTAATGAGAAGATTGACTATGAATGAATAGGTGTTCCAATTAAAAAGCAGGGAAGATTATTAATTTTAGAAGCGTCTCCAAACTATGACAAATATAAATTTTAGTGAAATCACTTGTAGGTTTTGATGTTTCTTTATGTAATGTTATTGGAGATAAAATTATTTTCTACATACACATAAAAGTGTGTGGGGTTCACGTAGAGTCATATTATGAAGAGAAGAGAGAAAAAAAAAATATGGATCTCACACACTTTTATATGTGTATGAGATAATTTTATCTCGTGCAATATGTGAGAAATTAAACCCTAAAATAAATTAATCTACACACATTTCTGACTAGAGAAAAGAAACCATACCATGTAACTCAATTTGACTAGATAGTAAGATTGATTTAGTGCATGTTTTTTGGATCCTCTCTTTTTTAAGCTAGAAGCTACTTATAAGCATAAGCTAGGCCAAACAGGTTTTGGAAAAAGCTCTTATTATGAAAAGCTCTTTTTTTATAAAGAAGAAAAAAACTGAAAACTAAAAGCTCCTAGGAGGAACTTTTTTTTAAGCTCTTATCTATTTTTCTTGAATTGTGTGTGATTTTCTTTTAAGTGAAGAGTTATAAAAATAGAGAGAGAAATAATTTTCTTGAAACATGTGCTTTTAAATAATTTTTAAGTTAAATTTTTTATGTAATTACCAAACAGTTTTTAGCTTCTTTTTTAAGCTCTTATTTTTAGCTTTAGCTTTAGCTTATAAGTAGCTTCTAGCTTAAAAATAAGAGGATCCAAACAGGCTCTTATTAGTTTCTCAAGTGAAAAGTACTAAACTGTTTATCACGTACGAAGTAACTCAATCTTTTAAACAACAATCCTTGCTTTAGCAAGCATAATCTTGGTCTGCATGATCCAAGAACTTGTGTAACATTTTAACAATGATTAGATTATTCACTAAAAAGCTTCATATAGTTGTTTTAAGAGAATTGACATACGAAAAGAAATACAAAGACCAGAAACAAGAGACTCAGTTAAAATTTGTGAAACCTTATTTGATTTTGGTACCTATCTCTCCACACAAACTATCATATAAAAATTTCACATGAAAATGATTCCCTTATTGTAGTGATTCTTGGAATAGATTTCTTCAAGTTAATGGAGCGAACGAAACACGTGTAATATACTTTCAAAAGCCTAAACGAGGGCGTCTTTACAAATATCATTGACTTCAAAGATATTGCCAAGGTTTAAACAAATGCCTTCATTAGCAAATATTTGAACCGCGAGTTAGGTAAAAGGTAACTAATGATAGTCGGCATTATGACTTCAAATATTGCCTACATGTTCTTTTTTTTTCTGACAAATAGAATATTTGCCAACTCATACAACCGTTATCACAACATTATAAAATTGCATGCATGATTTTCAATGAACACAAAGTAAAATAAACCATACACATGAAACCCAATTGAATTGAGTGTCATTGTGCTTAGTTCTGACTGTAGAGTAGCATAAGTGGGATTATTCTCTTGTGAATACCACCGGTTCAAGAAATTTCATGAATCAAGATGTATGAGAACTTTGTAATAAACTTTCAATCTGCCAGCGTAATAATTCTATGAAAACTTGATTTTAGATTGCCTTTAAGTGAGAGAAAAAGTTTCAATCTCATGAGAAATTAAATATTGAAGAAAAAGTGAAAAACTTTGATTTATTCTGGTACATGTTATCATAGCTTAAACAGTGTCAAACATGACAGTGCAACTCCTTAGCTAAAATGTCACTCGATACAAGTCTTTTGAAAGCTAAAAACATAAGAGATTTGAAATAAGTTACTGTGATCCTCCGATAAAGCCTAACCTCCCATTTGTGCCAGATAAAATCAAGAACTGATAAGCTAGATTAGAAACATACTGAATCTAAATTTTCTGACTTAGTCCTCATTAGTTGAAGACTTTGAGGACCCACAAAAACACACTTTGCTGCGCCTTTTGCTACTTTTCTTGCCATTGTGAATAAAGTCCCTCAGCAAGACCATTGTTTTTCCAGAGAATCTGTTTTTCCCTTTGTTCTTTTTTCCATCAACCAATTTTAGCAGAACATATTGGATGTTTTGCACCTCAAACTGCAATCGACCTATCTGTTCAGAATCTCTTCGTGCCTGTTCTGTTACCCTTTTTCTGTGGATGTGTCTACTCTTTTCCAACTCAACTGAAGTCTCCTTGTTCAATGATGGGGCATTGTCTTCCATATCCTTTGTCAATTGGTCATTAGTATCTACTAATTTCACAACAGCTTCCTCAACTTCTTCTATTTGTCTATTAACTGTTTCATATTCATCACTCTCATCTCCCTTCTTGCTTCTCTTCTTTGTCTCCATTTTCTTTTTCAAATCTTGCACATTCATCTTAAGAGTGGTCAATTTCTGGGCATCTGAGGCCAGCCTCTCCAATATCTTTCTCCTCTTCCCATCTTGAGTTCTCTCTTTTATGCTTTTCGACAACTGAAGCTTGTCAACACCTAATTCCTTTTCTACCTCCAATTCTGAAGAGGTATTTTGGTGTTTACCTGAATTATCTGGCTGATGGCATGTAATAACATCCTCTGTTGGAACAGAACTCAGTTTCATTGCTTCACTCACCATTGAACTATCACAGCAGTCCTGCTCAGCAGATTCCCATAATTCAAGCATCTGATCATCAGTCCCACTATTCTCTCTCCGGCTATTCTTAGAGGCTGGATTGTCTGAGATGTGATCAAGTGGAATATCTTTCATCGATGACCCATTTTCAGATTTTGTTCTCCATGAGTTGAGATCAAAAGTGCTCTCATCTTCGTGTTCCTTCTGTACTTTTCTATTGTCATCTTCTGTATATGGTGAAAATTCTGCATCTGAACCTTCAGGCACTTCTTGCAGAGCTCCTGGATTAACTTTAGTGGTTAGATTTTCTTCCTTGACACGTCCTTCAATTTCTTCCACCACTGACTTTTCAACTGCTCTAATCCTTGCCTTGATGCTCAGCAAATCCGAAACCCCTTCTGGTGTCAAAGTTTCTCTGTTTGTCAAACTTTGATAGCTATTTTCCTGGAGACAGGTTTCAATTATTGCATCCTGGACAAACATTCATGATAAACATGGATAAGTAGAATACATGTCACCTGTACATATTCATTTAACAAGAGAGAAGGAAGAAAAAAAAGCTACCTTCTGTTCTTCATTGCCTACAGCAGACATTTTATTTGTTCGAAGATGAGCAGTGCGCTCTAAAGAAGCAAAATCTTCTTTCAAAGAACTAATGACTGGTATATATAGAGATAACTGCCCCTTCAGTCCTCCAATTTCACCTTCCAATAGACTGACTCTTTCTGTCATCTGTTCAATCTTTATGCTTTTTGCAGCACTTTCCTCTTCAAGTCTCATGCAAACTCCAGTAAGCTCATTAACCTTATTTTCCAACAATGCTTCACTAATGGACGAAATCTGAAGATCAAAATAGAATGTAGCAGCCTCAGCCTCCCAAAGTTGAAATTCATTTGTTTTATCCAGCAGCTCTGAACTCAATGTTTCTTCCCTAGCCCTCTGTTGCTCAACTTCATGATGTAATAATTTCATCTCCGACAGAAAACTTCTATTGGTTTCATTAAGGAGTTCAATTTCTTTTTTGTGATTCGTGCAACCTTCTGATAGTTCAAGAATCTGCCTCTCAAGATTTTCATTGATCAATCTTGATTCCTGTTGTTCCATCTTCAATTTCTCAACATTTCTGCAAAACTCTGCATTCAACATTTCTGCAGCCTTTAGCCTTTCCTCCATTTCTAACAGTTCTGCTTTTTTCTTCTTAAGAAGACACTCTGAACTTTCAATTTGACAACTTAAAAGGTCATTCGCATTTTTGGCTTCCTGCAGATCTTTGTCCATAATCTCAACTGAATCTTTCAGATAAACATTTTCTGCTTCTTTCACCTCAAACTTCTTCCTTAACAGACCAAGTTCCTGTTTGAGGTCATTGTTCATACAGTGGAGATCAGTGAGATGTTCAGCAAGTGCTTTTTGTTCCAAGACCTTCTCAGTGAAAAAGCTCTCATAAACCAAATTAAGGTTTTTTAGAGTCAGTGCCTCGTGGAGAATTACACTGTTCTCATCTTCAGCAGCAGATTTTGCATCTTTCAGGTCCAAAACACTCTTAAGTAGGGAATTTTTCTCGTCAAGTAGCTTGCAATTTTCTTCCTGAAACGCTATATTTGTTCTTTGCAAATCTACAAACTCCACATGAAGAGCCTCCAATTTGGACTTTAATGTATTCTCCTTTACTTCTCCCTTTGTCACTTCAGACCTCAGTTGCTTGTTCTTCTCCAGGAGTGTAAGTTTATCTTTCTCCAACATTGCGTGCTGCTCTCTTGTGTTTTCAAACTCTTGCTCCAGGATCCTTTTCTTTGACTCCAGTTCTTCTCCCTCACATTCTTGTTGCGAAAGTACAGTTAGGAAGACAGAATTCTCTACAAGTAGCAGCTGCTTCTCCTCTTGAATTTTCACAAGAGAACCTTTCAAGCCCTCAATATTATTCAAAATATGTGATATAGGCATTTCCTCTTGCTTGATCCCTTTGTCATGCCCCCCATCTGCATCAACCTGAAGAGCCCCAAACACTTGATGAAACCCTATTTTAAACTTTCTAATTTCATCTAACAAGAACTCTAACTCCATCTGTTGCATAAGGTTCTCACCCTCCAACTCAGAGATAACTTCATCAGAAAATTTTGATGCTTCAGCGTGTTTTTGACATTCAATTAATAAACCCAAGTTCTTCTGCTCCAAGTCTTCAATGCATTTTTGCAAAATAAACATCTCAACTTGAGCATTTACAGCTTTATCGAGTTCCTCTTCGAATTCTTTCTTCCCCAACCGGTGTTCTTCCTGTAGCCGAAGGACAAGATTCTCCAAATTTGCTAATCGGGCTTCACTTGAATGTTTATGATTAGCGTGCTTTTCTTTTTGCGCCAAAAGCAAAACATGAAGTTCTTCTACTTGATTGACTCTGCTTTCTTTGTCTTTCTCCACATCAGAATAATTTTCTTCTAATTTTGTAAACCTTTTCTCCAGGTTACCTAGTCTAGCTTCAACGCTCTCCAATTGAGATAACAGGATGCTTCTTTCATTTATAAGATTATACTTCTCATTATTCAGCAAATTGCAGAATTCTTCCAAGCTACTTGATTTAGCCCTCAAACCTTCAAGCTCAATCTTTGCATCAGAGAGGGACTTCTCCAGCAAGGTATTCTTCTCCAATAGCTTCTGCATACTTTCAGTGATAATTTGTAACTGTGAAAGTAAAGCTGATTTCTCAACAGCGAGAATGGATTTTTCTTCCTGCAGAACATGGCAGGACTCTTTAAATTTCTTCACTGTATCTCTTAAACCATCTAGCTCATCATTCAAACTTGACAGGGAACATTCCATAAGGGCATTTTCTCTCAAAAGTTTATCCATATCCTTTGACTTTTCACGAAGACCTTCTTTCTCATCTCGTTCCATTTTGCATACCTCCTTGAGCTCTGAGTTCTCATTTCGTAAATCCTTCACAGATGCAGCAATACATTTAGGATCCAAACCTACAGACCCTAGTTCTTCCAGTATAGCCTGATATCTATTATTCAAGCCCTGGATTTCATCCTTTACTTGATGAGACTCCTGTTGGAGGGCATTGCTTTCTTCAACTTTTATGGAAAACTCCAGTTCCAGTTTGTCTTTTATCTCCTTCAACTTGCAGATTTCCATTTGCTGATTTCTTAATGAAATAGAGGAAGTGAAGTTAAGTTCATGCAGAGTCTTGTTTTCTTCCACAATCTGTTGCATTTCTTCCCTAAAACCTTGTTTGGAAAGCTCCAAGTCCTCCAACAGCTGAAGGCCATGTTTAAGCTCCTTAGCAAGAGATCTTTGCTCCTCTTGTGATTGAGAGTACAACTTCTGCAGAGTCTGCAGAGTGGATTCAATTTGAAGAAAATGAGAATGCTCTTCTTGCATCAGAGTCTGCAGCCTCTCTAACTCAGTATGCTTCTCAAGAAGCTCTTGATCTTTTACAGAAATCTTCTGCATTAGATTGTTGGCCTCTAGCTGAAGAGATCGATTAGATTTCTCCAACATGTCACAATTTTTTTCAGCAGTCTTTAGTTTACCAGTCCCTATCTCAATTTCTCTGTTCAGTCGTTTAGAAGTTTCTTGGGCATGCAAAATTTCACTCTCCATTGTAGATATTTTCTGCAAGCACTGCTTGTACTGGACAGCTACAGCTTCTTTCTCTTCATTCAATTCAGTAAGATTTTTCCTCAGTGCATTAATTTCAAGCTCTGCTCTTCCAATTTGCTCAATTAGTGTCCTGGAATTCTCCTCAGCAAGGGTAATTTCTGCCTCCAAAACAGATATCTTCTCAAGACATTTTTTATTTTGAAGAAGACCAGCATCCTTCTCAGACTCCAATCTGGCAAGTTCTTGCTTGAGATATTTAGCTTCAGTTTCTGCTTTAGCAGCCCTCTCATCACGTCCCTTTGCATCCAGCTGGGCCAGAGATAACATAGTCTCCAGGCTAGCTATCCTTTCCATACACTGGTTGTACTGAGCTAGACCAGCATCCTTCTCAGATTTTAGCTCTGCTAGGGCTTCCTTTAATATTTTAATTTCAATTTCAGCTTTGCTTGCTCGTTCGTCAAGGCCTCCAGCATCCTTTTGTGTCTTACTAAGCTCTCTTTCCATTTCTGATAACTTCTCCAAACTCTTCTGATACTGAAGAAAGATAGAATCCTTGTCAGACTGTATTTCTACCAAGGCTTTCCTCAAGGTTTGAACTTCACTTTCTGCTCTCCCTGCATGCTCAGACTCAAAATGGTTCTGGGTCTTCACATGCTGTTTTTCAGCCGATAACTGGGAGAACCCAAACATCTCATTCAGCTGCTTTAGACCCTTCTTGCTTAGACCATCATCAGATTCTTCTGATCTCCCTCCATTCTTTTTTAAAGTATTTTGAACTGCAGAAAATCCAAATGTATCTTTCTGTAGGTCATCTGACTCCAAGAATGAACGAAATGGATGTGGCATTCCTGGTGTGTGTGATTCAACCTCTAAAGAACTACATGGTGAATCATCAGTTAGCAAGTAATGTGCTTGGTTGGGAAATGCTTCTGCCATGGTTTTATGGGCCTGCCGTAGCTCCCCTGTTGCATGATCATACCTCTCTGCTAGTGCACGATATGCTCGGTAGAACTCCTCAACTAATTTCATGAGTTCTGGCCGCTTCTTATAGTACATTTCTGCCCTCCTTGCAAATGAATCTGCATCCTCTTCAATAAGCTTGATCATTGCCTTGACTTTGGCATCCATGTCTGTATAAACAATAACATCACTTTAAGGTTACTGAACCATGGATTTTTTATGAATTCTGCTCCTGTAAATGAATGTATTTTGATAAAATTTGGCAGTAAAAAATGAGCCACATGTTAGTGTGCATTGCAAAATGAAATGTATGGACCACCATTGTGATCTCAAATTCTCAATTCCAGCAAATGCTTCCTACACCTAAATGGTAGTTTACACGGGTTTCCATCTACAGTCTCTCCAACAGGAAAGTTTGTCTAGCAATATATTCAGATTCTTCTTGCACAATGATAGAAATTTAAGATATAGAGGAAAAGGACGAACCTGTAAGGTTTTCTTGAAGCCATTTTGAATTCTTTGGGCTAATGTGGCTATCCCACCACCAAGAATATAAGCGCCTGGACTCAGAATGTAACAAGGTTGCCATAACTCCAGCGAAGAACAATAGCACAGCTGGTTTTGATTTGGCAAAAGCCTGATATTGGATCCAGGCCAGACTAGCAATTTATAGACTTCCACCACCAATGTTGGTTTAATTTGACACTCTTCAGCTCTGTATCTTCTCTTCCCTAATTTAAAAAAAAAATGTGTACATGGTATATTTAATAAGAATAGCTCAGATTCATGAAGTCCAATTTTACTACCATGGTTTAATCTATAAGAAAGTTAGACACTCTTTCAACATGGGTGTTGTATTACCTACTCAATTGAATACAGCTCCAGTATCTTATTGTATATGGAGCTTCTTGTTCCAGCAGCTCCCACAATTCAAAATCAGGGTAACTGTCAAATAAATAAATAAAAACAAGAAAAGGTTCAAACGGGTGAGCAGCAAAATCAGATGAGACGCCCGGGGCCCAAAAGCAAAAGGAGGTTCCTAAAATATATATATAAAAAAAAAAAAATGGATCATACATTTAACACCTGTCTCTTTCTTCTTCTTATTCTTCTTCTTCTACTACTACTGCTTTTTTTTTTCTTTGGGGAAAGAATTAGCAGATACCAAGAGATCCTGAAGATGAGCAGCATAAATCACGCACCAAATGACAAAAAAATGAAAGTTAATCAGTACGGGAAATCTACCACTAGCACTGCTAGAATCAAGTGCAAGATTGTCATTGATCAAATTCGTTACCAGTAAACCATGACATCCAAAACATGAAGGGGCAAAGAATAAAAGAGAAGGGTAAAAAAAGGCTACAGGCACGGAAAAGCGAGAAACGGTGACATCAAAAGGAAGAAAAGACATCACTCATGAGTCATGAGCAAAACAATTCTAGAGAAAGCTACGAGATCAAGAACTTACCAGGTGAAATGAACTTGACGGTGAACAACCACCACTCAAAGGAGACACAAAATCATGAAAATAAGCAAATGGGCATGAAGAAAACCACGAAAATCACTAAGCTTTAATCGCTTAAGGATCAGCAACACCCCAAAAGCATAGATTCCGGGAACGGGAACCTCCTAAGCAGCTCTGATAACAGAACACCTTACCCCATTTTCTCTCTCTATCTCTGAGGCACAAAGTCGCAATTTTCTCTCTCTAGGAGATGGGCTACTGGCATTAGATTCTTCTGGGCTTGCTGGTTCTCACACTCACTGACTCGCCAACTGTAAAAAGGACAAGTTTTTCAGAGTGAGAACCAAAAAAGTACTGGTTTTTTGTGCTTTTGATAATCTCTCTTGTTTTGGGAAGATTATCACATTACAGTATCCTTAAAGTAAGAGAATGCGTGTGTAATATGTTAATGCAATCTGAATCCCCAAACAACAGTGATAATGGGTTTATGCAGTTAAATGCTATAATTATGTTTCAATTAAAACTTATTTAAAAAACGTATTCTTTGTGTTTCTCCATGTCTTTCATCGTTTTTTTAAAAATTTGAGTTTCATTATGTAATTAAGGTTATATCTCCTTTTCTTTTCCGTGTTTCTCGCTTCTTCTTCTTTTTTTTCCACTCCATTCCCTCACGTTTATTTCAGAGGCCTTCTTGCTAAATTTCCTTCTTTCCAATAAGGTTGCACATGAATTTACAAGTATTCAAAAAATTGCACGTGAAAATTATTTATTTTGTGAATTATTATTTGATTAAATAAATTTTAGTGATAATTTTTAAAATTATTATTATTATATCATTTGTAATTTTAATTATTATAAAATAATTAATATTTTTAACGCTATTCAATATTTTATATGAAAGAAGCGAATAGAGATGCGTGATGATAAAATTTGAAAAAAGATATGAGGGATTGCTTATATACACAACTGGTTTCACATCCTTTTCATTTACAACTAATTACATTATTTCGAAAAATAATTTAAAAGCAGTGTTGTTTGTGTAATCTTTTTTATAATTTTCCTTTTTTTTGGTAAACTAATTTTCCTTTCTTTTATCGTTTTGTCCGTTGTCATACAAGGTACAATTTTTATTTTATTTTTGGTATAATCTGGAGGTATTCACATTCAACCTCCTTCGATTACCTTGCCCTCGGGATACGGCCTTGTAGACTAGCCTCTCGTTGGAACAGCGGGTGCATTGAGCTTCGCTACCAGAGAAAGAATGAGACTAATTCTCCCATTCGAGGAGAGAGGCACATCTTCTGGCCCCTAAAGATTTTTCAAGAATTTACTTGAAGTAATGTTTGAACTCCTGACTCAAGCAAACTCTTAAGAGCTCAGTTGTCAACTGATGGAGTTTACAAGATACAATTTAAAACCATATGGATTCAAAATTTTAATTAAAAATTAAATATTAATTTTATGTACTGTTATGTAATACAAGTTATGGAATTGTAATTTGATTACTGTTTTATGCATCTTCAAATGAATATTGTTAAAGTTTTTTTATTTCAGCTGTGTTGAATCTATAAATAAGTATTGATTTCGTTCATGCCCATCTTTTTACTTTCTTGCTAACACTTTTTACATAATCTGACGTATATTGTGAGGAAAAAGGAGAGCATGTCAAATCAAATATCATTTTTGTAATTTAATTAAAAAGTTATCTTGTTTTATGTATCTATTCCTTTTCATCATGCCGAGGAGGTAATGTCGCTCTCATAATGAAAATGATGGAACACAAACACGAAGAATAATATAATAAAACATATTCAATTTCAAAGTTGTTGGAGAAATTAGGGTCTGTATGGATCGAATTAAATTAATTTTTTTTAAAAAATCAAATTGAATTAGTTTAAATGATTCAGTTCGAAAATGGTTTGATTCAGTTCAAAATTGATTCGGTTCGGTTCAAAATCGATTCAGTTTGGTTCAAATCTAATTTGATTCATCTGAAAATAATTCGGTTCGGTTGAAAACAATTCAGTTCGATTCAGAACCAATTATGGTTGACTCTATTTTGAAAAAAAAAATAAGATAAAAAAATCAGTTCGATTCAATTCGAAAACGGTTCGATTCTTGAACTAATTTTAAAAATTATTTCGATTCATAAACTGATTTTTTTTAAAACTGATTTGGTTCATAAACTGATTTTTAAAAACTAATTATTTTAAGTGCAATTGCTTCAAAAAAATTTGTTATTTTGCACATTCTCGTTAGTAGAATCAACAAACAAAATTGTCTTTGCGTAATAAGCAAAATGCAAATCCTATTTGTCTTCAAAATATACATTACACAATATTATGACTTCAGATTCTATGATAAAATATATTCCTGATTGGGTATTATTACCATTTACATCCTTCCCAAAATTAGTAATCTTGACCAGCCAAGCCGATATAGTCAATGTGTTTGGTCAGAAAGAGGTGGTGTCTTTAAGGAGATTCCGGTGATGGGTCACTTGGGATGATCCAGCCATTCCACAATTAATATTTGAAATCTGGCAGAATTTAAGATTCTAAATAAAATTAGAAAATACATTATATTAAAAAAATAGAAAAATAAATAAAAGATTGATTACATTTTTCTTTAAAGTGAAAAGTTAAAATCAGTCTTTTAGGAATAATAAAAGAAAAATATTATTCTCCTTTTATATAAGACAACTTCTCTCTTTCTCTCTCATTTCGATTTTTGCACCTCACATTTTTTTCTTTTTTTTTCTTGTAATGATGGACTCACCTATTTTCTCTCTACAACATAAGATAGTTATCTTATGTAAAAGGAGAATAATAAAATCCATAATAAAATCATGTAACATCCCAAAAGCTAGTAAGGACAAGGAGTGATCGCTGGTGCAAAAGAGATACAGAGAATGAGCGATTCATGCCAAATTTTGTAGCTGAGGGTACATGAATGAATTCGATTAACGCTTAAAGGAGAGGAATTCCAAAGACTGTGCAAGTATGAGACTCTACAATTAGAGATACCTTATAAGTTGTAAGAATTAATTGGTATTATCTATACTAACAAGATACATCTATTTTTTCGGTAACCTGAAACGGAAGAACTCCATAGTTAAGCGTGCTTAACTTGGAGCGATTTCGGGATGAGTGACCTCATGAGAAGTTTTCCCAATAAATGTGTAAATGAGAACAAACACACTTAAAAGTCTCGTGTTAGTTTGTGGGGACAGTCATTGATCCTTGAAACAGCTGAGTGTTACAAGTGGTGTCAGAGCAAGATATTTCTCCTAGTACGGTGTGATTCGAGGATGAATTAGGTTGAAGCTGGTGGGCATGTAACATCTCAATGGAAGGCAAGGGTAGGGCGTAATCACTAGTGCAAAAGAGGCACGAACAATCATGTCAAATCTTATAGCTGGCATATATGAATGAATCGAATTAACACCTGACAGAGAGGAATTTCAGAGACTGTACAAGTATAGGACTATACAGTTAGAGATAGTTTATAAGAATTAATTGGTATTACTTATACTAACAAGATGCATCTATTTTTCGGTAGCTCGAAATGGAAGAACTCCATAGTTAAGCGTGCTTAATTTGGAGCAATTTCGAGATAAGTGACCTCATGTGAAGTTTTCTCTGTAAGTGTGCTAGTGAGGACAAAACACGCTGAAAAGTCTCGTATTAGTTTGTGGAGATAGTCATTGATCCTTAAAGTGGTTGTGCATTACAAATCATATATTAACACTTTAGATGATAATTTTTTTTTTCGTAAGATATTTTTTTCTATTCAAATCAATTTCAAGAATCTTGATAAAGAAATAAAATATATCAGTTGAGACTAATAGAATTACAAAATAAAACAAAAGGTGTTAATTATAAATTTTCATATGTCAATGTTTTTCCTACTTTTTATTACTTTCCAAAATTTTCAACCTCCTATTCAACCTGGAAAAAAAACTGCTATTTAGAACAACTTTCATTTATCCTTTAGTTATTCATTCTTTTATATTAGCAAAGCAAAAAATAGAACGCACTAAACACATGTATATAAAAAGTATTTACAATTTTATTTTGTTATAAATGAGCACAATAAATTATAGAAAGATTGGAGAAAAAATA